GTGCATGCGTGCCCAAGATCCCAAGAGGAGAACGGAGGAGAAAGGATTGTGGAGTGGCCATTCCCTCTGGGGGGTGATTTCTCGCTTTCTGTGTCTGTCTCTCTGTCTTTCTGGCGAGCACAAGCGCCCTATAACAAAAACCTCTCCAAAAAAAAAAAAGGGATTGCAGCTTGATCATGCCGCACCAAGATCTATAGTCGCCCTCCCCACTTCCTCCCATTTCTCTGTCTCTGTCTGACTAGCACATGTGCCCTTTGGTAATTAAAAGAACCCCTCCCAGTGCCTGCTCCCCAGGCCCTAATGCTCAGAATTTCCTTCTCCTTCCCTCTCTGCTCAGCCGTCCTCTTGTCAATGGACTGTTTCAGTGTCTGCCACGGCGCCCTCCCTTCGCCAGTGTGAGCTCAGGACCGGGTGCCCACAGGGCTGCAGCCAAAGCCGCCGTCTGTGTGCTTTCCCGTGCCCACTGGCTTCGCTGACAAGGCCATAGAACATCTGCTAGCTCTTTGGTGGGATGCCCACCCCCGAGATTGGCATCCAGACCTTCCACAAATAGGGCCCCCACAGCTGCCCGTCAGGGACACCCCACCCACGGGCATTCTGCCCTGGCTACCCTGGAATACCAGACGCTGGGCCTGGAGAGCCCAAGCATCCACCCTCAGCCTGCGGGACCCAGCACAAGGGCCACACTGGCGCCGAGGCACTCTCCCTGGCCTCTGGGTGCCCCTCTCATGGCCCTGTCATTCTCCGTCTGACCCCCAGTTGTGGGGCTGTCTCTCTTGCTAGACTGGAAGGCCGTCCCGGGCAGGGTCTGTCTTACTAGCTTTTCTTCCCCTCGTGGTGCCCGGCCCAGGGCTGCATGCTCAGAGGCCAGTGTGTATCCGCTGAATCGGTCAAAGTGTTCGTACCCTGTATTTATCAGCCTGCTGCTTTCATGCCAGACACCAGGGGGCACTGTCAGCACGCCGACGAGAAGCCAACCCCCCACCACCACCCCCAGGCTGAGCATGAAAGGCTCCCCTCTGCTCTGGGATGGCAGGAGACTCACTGCTGCCCCCAGTCCAAACACCTCCGTTTGCAGTCATTCCCGCAGCAGGTTCCCATTGGGTGTAGAGGTGAGTATAAAAGCTGCGGGTGACACTTCCACCTCAGGTCACCCCTGCCTTCATTTCTCCAGACCCCAGGTGGCCCTTCTAACCCCAGTGCCCTCCCCACCAAAAACGGCCCCTGCCAGTCCCAAGGGGAGGAGGGGAGATGCCTCTGCTCCTCTTGGGCCCCGCCCACCTGCACGTGCACAGCGGCACACACGCACACACGCACTGTGGTCCGGTGGGCAGCTGCCCCGACAAACAGCATCCCCACTGGCCCTGGCCCCAGAGAGAGCATCAGCCCCTGCTGCTCCCAGGCTGGCTAGAGGGGAGTTGCAGTGGCACGGCCCCCAGGTGTGAGAAGGCTCCCCCAAAGGCCTCGAGCCTTGCACATTTTCTTCTAAAAGCAGCATGACAGTTGTAGGCTATAAGATGAAGAATTGATGTTTGTCACAAAACAAAACCCAAACCTTTGCCTGCACAGCCCTCTAGCCCTGGAGTCCCAGAGCAGGAGGCCCAGGCGGAAGGCGGGCGGCTCGGAAGCCCCTCCCCCCAACCCCGCCGCCTTTGAGCCTTTGACGTAAACTAGCTTCTTGACCCTGCCGGCGGTGTGCACTGCACGGCGCATAAACAGGAAGCCATCCGCGCCATCCCGTTCATCCCTCTCAGAGCATCGGGAGACCTGTCTGGGCATCAAAGCCATCCCCGGCCACCAGGAGCTCACTGGGGGGACAGCAGCCTGGCCCAAACAATTCCCCATTGTGTTCCTCCCCTTGGAAATCATGGCTTTGTAAACAGGCCCTCACGTTTTGACAGGTCCTGCCCTAACTTTGTGCTAGTGCGTTGTTTTTTCTTTCCTGAACAATGTCCTTCCAGGAGGGCCAGCCGTTCACACCATTGTCTGAGACCCTTGGACTACAGGAAACAGAGTCAGATTCTTATCAGCTGGGCTGGGGGAGGTGGTGCAGAGCGAGAAAGATGAGGTCACGGCCAGAAAGCAGCTGCTGCCTGACACGTCACTCTTTTTAATTTGCCAGAGGGTGCACACACTCACGGGGAGAGACAGACAGAGAAGAGGAAGGAGAAAGGACCCCTCCCCGCATCCCCCGGTCATGCCACAGTCCGTCACTTCTTTTGGGATTTCCCACACACACACCCTTGGTGTGCTTTTCCCAGCCAGGTCTGGGTCTTGAACGTTCAGTTGGCCATGTGGGACCCAGCCCCCGTAACCGCTAGGCCTCAGGCTGGCACCCTGGCACTTCATTCTTCCGCACGTTTATCGGAGAGCAGAGCCCGCGGCGGCCTTCCGGCAGGACTCCCTGAACTCACGTGTCCCTGCTAATGTGGCCTGCGTTTGATGACAGACACCTGGACTCTGCGCCAGGCCCGGCTGCATCCCCTTTGGGATCCCGCCAGTCCCTCTCTGCCCTGTGGGATACTCCTGGTGGTGAAACATGCCCCCCACCATCTTCCTCCCTGTGGGCAAGCAGTCAGGCGTGGCTGGCTGAGTCCTTCAGCAGAGGCTCCGAGTGTTGCTGTCAGCGGGCTGCTGGAGGCTGAGTGGGAGCAGAGCCCAGCCGTCTCTACCAGGGCTCCCTGGGGACTCTGCAGCAGTTCCTGTCCTCCCCGGAGAATGACTTTTTCAAAGGTACATCGAGGAACCAGGAGTTTCCTTAATGAAACCCCAGCAGGGAAAGTGAAAGGCTTCGCTGGGACGCAGCCTATCAGGGAGAGGGCCTGGCAGTGGTGCCCACAGCAGAGGCAGGAGGGGCTGGGTGGTGGGCGGTGGGCACAGGGTCACAGCTGCCCCACCTCATCTGATGCATTCCAGAGGGACAAGTGAGTCCAAGAGAGTGCCCACCAGTGCCCCGGCTGCTTACCAGGTATGGTGCCCAACCCAGCCCCCTCACTCTCTCTGAGTTTGTGGACAGAACCCCAGGGCTTGTTCTCGCTGTGTGCTGAACCTTCTCCTAGCAGAAGCCTCTGCAGCCCAGGACACGGGTCCTTAGCAGATGCAAATTGGGCTATTTTTGAGCCCAATCTCCTATTGCTAAGAGGGGGAGATCAGCCAGGGAAGCTCCGCTGTCGGACGGCAGAGGCCCATGAGCCTGCCCTCTGGGCCACCCGGATCAGCCAGGGAAGCTCCGCTGTCGGACGGCCCTCTGGGCCACCCTGCTGGACTGCAGCTGACGTGCCCGCCCATCTCAGAGAAGAGAGCTGGCAGGGGGCAGGGCACGCTCCAGGTGCTGGCTGTCATCCGCTCACTCCTCCAATCGGGGGCGCTCCAGGCAGCCAGGAGCAGGCCTGATGGTAACTGATGATGAGGAAGTACAGAAGCCACTTAAGAAAGCTCTCCTACTCCGGCCCCTCCCTGCCCCCACCCTTCCTTACAACTAACCCGCTAGATTGCAGGACGGTTAGGGTGAACCCAGGCCTCCACCGAGGACCTTGCCAGACACGGGAGGAGTCGGAAGCAGGCTGGGGAGGCAGGCCGGCCATGGGAGGATGGGAGCCAGAGGCTGCACAGAGCCCAGGCCCAAGCGGCAGCCGGCCGATGGCTTGGCAGCCCCGACCTGGGTGGCAGGGCCTATGCTGGTGAGGGCAGTAGGAAGTTGGGATGCGACGTTCCGTCTGGGAGGCCAGGGCCCCCAGAGTCTAATAAATTAGTCTCATGTGTAAGGAATTAATCTGATCAGCATTCCCCTGCGTGTGCTCGTCGGCATGCTCGTCCCGGAGCTGTCAGGGTTCGCGGACAGCAGGGAGACGACAAGTGCTTTGGGGAATCAGCACACGGTGGGCACCAACGTTACCGAGGGGTCGCCACAGACTTCTCAGGGCAGTGACACCTCCATAGGACCAAGGGACAGAAGTCCTCAAGCAAGCTGACCGTGGAGGCCGTGAGGGCCTGGGGGGTCGGAAAGGACGGATTCACAAGACACCATTTTGGAAACCCTCAACTAGGCTCTCTGAGCCCCTTTCCAGCTCTAAAAATCACGAAACAGCCGCAAAGACAGGGGAAAAGTGAGACGGAGACGAGAAGGCCCGGAGAGGCAGGTAGGGAGAGGGCGAAGCCACTGAGGCAGGAAGCGGAGACCGGGGAAAGGTCTGGCCATGGCGGCAAAGCCACTGGGAGAGAGGGCCTGGGCCACCCAGGTCGCGCAGTCCCAGCCCAGCACCTGCGCCCAAGAAGGGCTCTGAGCTCTCGGCTGGTGGCACTGATGGCTGGGGGTGGGTGACATTTCAGGAGCTGCTGCACCAGGGTGTCGGTGGAGGGGCAAGGGGCGGAAGGAGGGGCCCAGCCCCAAGCCCGTCTACAGCATGGAGGGGGCCATGCAGGCAGGAGGCCTCGGTGGTCCTCTGAAGGGCGCCTGGAGCTTCTCCGCCTCTCTGCAGCACAGGCGGGGTCTGCTCTTCGGGCAGGGACAGTGTCACGGAGGACTGGGGGTCCCAGACAGAGAGCCTTCTCCACTGCACCCAGTAGGTCAGGCTCCCAGAGCCTGCCCTCCATTCTGGAAGCTCCGGCCCCTCAGACAAAATGAGTGCAGTGACCTTAATAAACATCGGTATGTGACGGGTGGGCACCAAGCCAAGGGCTGCTGTGACAAATGTCCAGTGTTACCATTGAGAAATGACCAGGGCTGCCTCCACGCCCAGCTGCCCTCTGCCACAACTTTTTTTTTCTGGTTCAAGATCCTCCTGAGACCAACAAGGCCGACTCACAAACCTGGGCAGGGCACTCCTAATTTAACGAGCCGCCTGAGCTCCACAGACGAACCCCTGACTCTGCCCTTTGACGCGTCCCGGTCCCCGCCTGCTAGAAAACACCGCGCAGGGCACCTTCTCCCTCACAGAGGGCAGGTGGCACCCGCCAGCTCAGCACACAATACACAGACACAAGTGACGTCATTATGTGACGTAAATATTAACTTTATCCTTTTTCTTTCTTTCTTTTTTACAGGTTTTGCTTTTCTCAGCAGCGCTCAGAGACAGCCATGACCACACGATTAACGGTGAGTACGAGAACTATGCACGGGAGACAGAGAAGCCACGAGGCCCATCCCGACTTAGGCATACAAAAATAAAACTCCCATGCGGAGGACCTTTCCAGGAGTCAGCCGCAGAGCCCAGGACAGGGACGGGAGGGGCTGGAGAAGCTATCCTATTTGTCCCAGTGTAGGCGTTCATTGCTGGGATCTCGCGCTCCCTCTCTGCGCTCGGATCCTGCCAGGGCCGGTGTGGCTTCCCTGGGTAGGTGTCAGGGCTGGGAGCTCCCTTTCCATTGTCACTGACTTCCTCCTGCCCTCCCTCCTGTCCTCTGAAATCCCAGCGCAGCGCACGGCACAAGGGCTCTCCAGGCGCTGGCGGGCTGGTCTCAGAGGTGCCGGCCACTGACTGCACAAATCTGGTTCCAGGAGACATGGGGTGGGGGCCGGAGGAGAGGAAACCCAGGCCTGTCTTTCCCCTTTCCTCCATCTTGGTTTTTTTAATGAAGGGCATCTCAGACCCAGGGCCCTCGGCTCCCTCCTGTGGGTTCTGTGCGTCACCGATGTCCTCGTGTGCAGGCTGGGGACTTTTCATTTAGTCCTCCCCCGGCTTGGCACCCCCAGCCTGAGAAACTGCTGATGGCAGAGACGCCTCCCCGGCGCACCCGGGCAGGGCGTGTCCAGGCCGCCTGCGCCCCACCCCTCACCCCAAGGAGCAGCAGGACTTGCAGCGCTTAGCTTTTTTTCTCTACATTTTTTCCCCTTCAGCTTTATAAATGAACCATCTGTGCCCAACCCCTACTTGGCAGAAGAAAACAGGGTCGGAAAGCACAGCCTCTGGGGTGACTTTGGCTGGTCGATGCCATTGTACGTCCTTGAGGACACCTGCTCCCAGGTCCCGCAGCTCACCCGGGGCCTCCCACAGTCTCTTCCCATCAGCAGGGACAGCTTCTGTGACCCTGACTCACAGGGCCCCGATTCCCGCCCCACAGGGCCGGGATGGGTGCACTGCCCTGGGAGAGCCAGCCCACTCCTCCCACCACACTTTCCTGGCAGCCTCCTCCCGTCTCTGCCCCAGAGCTGAGGGTGCCTTCCCCAGAAGCCCCCAGCATGGAGACCCACACGTAGGAAAGGGCCAGTCCGTTAGGAAGGTGGGCATCGGGAAAGCCTGGCCTGGGGAAGGGAAGTCGGGCTGTGAGACCCCTCTCCCTGGTGTCCGAAGTGGGGCTTGAGGCCCAGACCACCCCAGGTCCCAGGTGGTGGCAGAGGCAGAGCAGGGGTGGGGACATACTGCCACCCAGGCTTCCCAACTCCTTGTTCCCTCCCGCGTGGGTCAGGGCAGGTCCTTCTGAGGGGCGATAGCCTCGAGGGCGTGCCCTCCTCTGGCTGCCCAGGGCCCTCCTTGCAACCGCCCACACTTACTCTGCGGTACCAGGATGGCCATTGTTCTGCAGGCTGGGAAAGAACTGCCCAGCCCTCCTGCTCTGGGCACACCCGGAAACTGTTCCGGAAGCCAGGCCACCTCTGAGAACAAACGGCAGGTCCCTGGGGGCTGTTGAGGCCAGAGGGTGTGGGCTCCAGCCTGGCACTGAGGCACAGAGACCCCAGGGAACTTGCCTCGGGCACAGGCCCCTCCCTCAGGCCCCCAGATTCTCCAGGTGTCCTGATGGTGGTGTCAGGGTACAGATGACTTCTCTGAGGACCGGTCAGGCATCCGGCCCCCTCTGCCCTTGCTGGGTGGGGGGACAGATGCTAGGGGCTCTGCCCCCCATCCTGACCACCCCCCACGATCTCTATGTGGCCTCCACCTCCCGGGGCGTGCGGTTGCGCTCCGCCTGAACCCGGCTCTTCCCCTTCTTGCCCAGCTCCAGCCCGGCCCAGCCCTTGCCCCTGGCCGACTTGGCCTTGCTCCAGAAGGGGAGGGCACCAGGGCGCTCCGCGACACCCCTGCACCACACGCGCTCACAGTACTCATCCACCCGGGGCAGGCTGGCCAAGCCGGTGAGCTGCAGGATGTCCTTGTACCAGGCCTTGGGGGGCACAGAGGCTGGGCCACCCCGTGCTGGAGGCTCCCGAGGGAGCAACACCCCCAGCTGCTCGGCCGCGATCACCACCAGGGCCAGGCGGACCACGGTCCGGGAGAAGCCATGCTCCAGGCTGCTGCAGGTGTAGGTGCCCGCATCCAGGCGGCTGAGCCTGCGGAACAGTAGCCCCTGCGCCGTTTGCAGGATGCGTTCATCCGTCTTCACCTGCCCAGCGGGAGGGGAGGGGTGAGCGGGGCGTGGGAGGGCACGCACCATCCTACCATCGGCTTCTCTGCTCCTGCTTTGCCAGAGTGCCAGCCACAGGGTCCTGGGCTCGGGTGCTTCCTTGTGCCCATTGTCCCCTCCCCGGTGGCAGGCTCAGCCTCCTCTGGGCCGTGAACTCCTCGCAGGCAGGGCCTCCCTCACCTTTCCGTGGCCTGGGGCAGGCCTGCCACGGGGGCTCTTCAGAGATCCCACTGGCTGGCTCTGTCCAACTCAGAGCTCTGGGCCATCTTGGCCTCCAAGGGCCGGTCATGCGGTCCCAGGAAGCAGAGGGCTCAGAGGGGAGGGCCCACAGCCCAGCCCCAGGACTAGACGTTAGAACTTGCCGCCACGCCACACACAAACATGCACACGTGTCCGGGCTGAGTACGTACTCGGGCGCGCACATGTGTATCCACACGCACGTGCGCAGGCATGCAGGGACCTCCCGTCTTTACTGTTCACTCCCTTCACAATGTGGGGTGACGGCCCCAGCCCAGGCGCACTGGGCACCTAGCATAGGGTGGGGGCAGAAGTGGCGCTCTGGCCCCTGCCCTTCTCTGGCCTGAACCCCATCTGTGTGTGGAGGGCGGACAACCTGGGTGGTTAGGGCTGTGTGACTCCGTCTCGCTGTGGCCTGTCTCTCCCACCACCTGAGAGGCCTCCAGTGCCCAGCCCGACAGCTGGTCCAAAGCTGGCCTCCTCCAGTTCCCAAGCCCGAGGGGGAGCCCCTCCTATAATCAACCCACTCCCTCTCCCCCCTTCCCTGTGGGAGAATGGTTTCCCACCCTGCCCGGCCCACACCCATGGCCAGGCCCCAGACTGAAGCCATCTCTGGGGCTGACAGACCTTTCCGGATGGGGGAGGAGAGGACCTAGGCAGACAGCTGCCCTCTGAGGAAGAGGCATGGGGCCAGGCACTGGCAGCAGGGGGTGGGACCAGGGCCCAGGCCTAAGGCAGAGGAGGACCAAGAGTCTCTGGGAAAGAGACCCGAAGACGGGCCCCGTGAATGAGCCCTTTGCTCTCCTCCTCCTCTGTGCCCACCTCTCAGGCTTGAGCTCCAGCCACATCTGGCTGGGGCATTCCCAGAAGGCAGGAAGAGGCTCCGTCTGGGCACCCGGGCGAAGTTTGGGGAGGGTGATGACTGCAGGACACATGGAGGCTGGAGGTGGGGTCCCTGCTCACCTGGTCGGGCCTCTCGTCTTCTGGCCTCTGCAAGAACCAGCGCACGGCAGCCTGGGGGGACTTGGGCAGGCACTCCAGGAAGGTGCTGTTGTGTTCCGTGCCATAGACCGTGGTGGCTGCCACAGCTCCTGTGGCCTCTTCTGCAGAGAGGCAGGGGTCAGCTTGGTGCAGAGCTAGGGCGCCAAGGTCTCAGGGCCACCGACAAACTCCCACAGCCCGGGAGCCCCTACCAGTGTAGCAAGGACCTAGGTGTCCGCTGGTCCCCAAGCCAGGCCCTGACACAGGGGCCCTGGCAATGCCCAGCCCATGCCCCTTCGCCTGCCACCACTCACCGGTCTGGCCCTGGCCTGGGCACTGCAGGGCAGGGTTGCCATGAAGGATGTCTTGCCTGCGGAACCGGCGCTTGCTGGAGCCGGGGCGGTAGCGGGTGCAGGAGGCACCGTCCCAGGCGCAGTATGGGTCTCGGGCCAGGCAGCATTCGGCACACGCGCTGCCATAAGTCTCGCACTGGTGCAGCCGCAGCCGGGCCACACCCAGCTGAGAGCCCACGTACAGCATTTGCTGGGGAGGGACACGGGCAGGGCCTCCTGTGGGCCAGGGCTTCACGCCAGCAGCAGGCAGGCCCACAGCCCCCTGGGATTTCCAGAGACCCCTGCCACTTGCAGGAAGTCTTCAGAACCTCTGGATTTATTCACACACACCCAGATGTTTATCCACCTACTGTGTTCCAATCCTGAGGAGTGGGAGCCCCGGGACCTTCTTTCTAGGGGGTTTTCTGGGGTGCCGACCTTTGCTCTGTACCTCAACGGCCTTTATTCTAACTTGCTTCTGACCTTCAGAGTACACTTTCCCTTAAGCAATCCCACTATAAGAGTTGGGATTTAGGGACCAGCAGGTGGCATGATGATTAAAGCACTGGACTCCCACATGGTCAACTTTGGGGTTCAAGTCCCAAATCTGGCAGCTTGAAAAACACATTTGGTGCATGCCTGGGCGTTAATCCCAAGAGGAGAGGGGAGGAGAAGGGACTGCGTGTGACCATTCCTCCTAGGGGGTGATTTCTCACTTTCTCTCTCTCTCTCTCTCCTCCTAACCAGCAAGTGCACATGCCCTATGGCAAGAAAACCTAAAATGTTAGGGATTTACCCAAAGATAAACAGGGGCAGAGAAATTTGGGGAGATGGTCCCGGCCGTTTGCACAGTGGCCTCCAACATTAGCTCCTTGGTATGATCTAAAATCTGGATTTTGTTTTCGACCAGTCGGCCTCCCTGAGAATGGCCTCTCTGTGCTGTCCCGGCCTCGCTTTCCAGTGCCTCCTGTTGCCCACCAGCTTCATGCGCGTTCATGCACCAGTTTCAGCTCCAGCCGGGGCTGGCCGGGCTGCCCCGCGTGGCTCCGAAGACCGCGCGGTGCTCTGGGGCTGCAGAGGAGGGTACGTGGGAGGGGCGGAGCTGCTTACCCTTTTGACAGAGATCTCCATCTCAGTGATGGGTGTGGGCACCTGGGAAAAAGTGGGGTCTCAGCCTGGGTGGGATGCCCGGCCTGTGCCCCTGCCTTCAGCCTCCCCAGCCCCCGTGGGAGTTAGCTACCACAGCCTGGGTCAGCACCCCCGGCAGTGGAGGCTAGACGGGCTTTTCCCAGACGCCGGCTTACAAGGAAGGCCCCAGTCCTGGCTGACCTCCAAGCAGGCCTGGCTGGGAGCACAGAGCTCCCTGTCCCCTCCCACAGCCCTGTCCCCAGGAATGAGGCAGCTGTCCCAAATCCCCCTCTCAGGTCCACGGGCCATTACAGTCCCCCCAACAGATGGCCCCATCCTCTTGGGGACTTGGGGGTCTCAGCCACCTGCTCACTGCAACTGGAGCCCAGTACCACTTTGTCCAGGCCACTCACTTAGACACCCTTCCCAGGAACCCTGGAACTTCAGAGCTTCAGGGCCCATCGTTCCACAGCATTGCCAGGCCCCTGAGGCAGGGCATGTGTCACCCCTACCCACACCACGCAGGCTCAGTGAAGACAGGCCGACTCCCTCCAGAGCGCATGCCTGCTTCTGAATGGCCAGACTGACCCTGGGCCTGGCCCCTGCTCACCTTAAACACCTGGAGCTCCTCCAGGACCACCTCCTCGGGCTCCGCCGAGCCCTCCACCTGGAGGGCAATGACTTTGAGCACAGAGCCTGAGTCTGGGGCCGGGGAGGAGAGGTCAGTGGAAAGGAGGGGTGGCCTGGACCCCCGCAGTCCTCTCCAGCCAGACCAGGCAGCTCAGGTGACCTACCGGTCCCCAAGAAGATGACGTCATAGATCCCATCCTCCGCCTCCACGCGGTCCACCACGATCTGGGTGAGCTTCTGGGCCAGCTGGGTCTTGATGAGGACAGGGCGGCCAAGCCGAGGCCGCACGGGCCGGAACATGAGCGGGTGGGCTCGGGCAAACTGCAGCACTTCATCCGGGTAGTCCTTGGTGCTGCCAAAGGCTCTCCCTGGCCGCGCAGTCATCTTGCTGGGGCACTGTGGGCAGCAGCAGAGGGGGGCCTGAGGGGTGCTGGGACCGCTGACCGCCTCCCCGCCACAAGGGGGCGCTCTCACCGCAGGAGCGGCTTTCCTCCCTCCAGCACGCCCGCCCCGCCAGGGCCCTCCGGAGCCTCAGCCGGGCGCTGCTGCGTGGGGACGCGGGTGGGTCCAAGGAGGAGGTCCCCTGGCCTCCGCTCAGGCCTGTCTCGCGGCCTGGCCCGGGCAGATGCTCACCACGCCAGGTCGAGGGAAGGGCACCTTGCCCACATAGGGCCCCCACTGGTGCTGCGGCCCTTCTTGGTGGGCAAAGGGCCCGTTGAAGACCTCCCAAATGTCCGCCATGTGGTACACACAGACCGCGAAGCCCTGGAACACAGCGCTGCGGGGGCAGACAGGGACAGTCAGGCTGGGGTGGCCCTGACAGGCGGGACCGAGGGCCACAGTGCATGTGACAAGCACAGACTCCAGCAAGCAAGGATGCCGTGCAAAGGCAGAGAGAGGGAGGCCAGCAGTGCAGTCACTCAGGGACAGGGACCGGGCTGCGGCAAGGCCAGGCGTGAGGGCGGAGGCTCTGCGAGGAGCAGGGGTAGGGGGAGCAGGTGGGGAGCACAGGGGCGAAGGCTCGGGGCCCACCTGACTGTGCTGAAGAGCGCGAACACCTCCAGGCCCTTCCCCGCCTTGGGCCACAGCAGGAACACATCCTCTGGGACAGAAGCGGCGGGAATTAAGGCCACCAGTCCCCACTGCTCCCAGCCCGCCCCACCCCAGCCTCCTGCACCATGCCCTTACCCAGCTGGTCAAAGTGGGTCTCTGCACCGCCGGCCCCGGGCACGGAGCAGACCAGCCTGGCCTTGAGGAGGGTGCTCCACCTGTTCACCAGCACCCGCTGGCCCCCGGCGTCGTTCTGGGGGTGGGACTGGAGTGAGCCTTGGGCGCCCCTTCCCCACACCTCCCTCCCTCGTGGAGGGGAAAGATCGAGACATGGCTTTGCATCCTTGCCTCAGTTTCCCTGCTGCTGTGTGGACAGGTCTGAGCAGGGGACTTGAACCTCCCCACCCCTCCACAGCTCTCACCACACAGACGCGGGCCACGCGGCTGACGGTGACACGGCCTGAACTGCCATCAGGCGAGGGGACAGTCTCCGAGAAGAAGAAGTACACCTTGTCATTGTCCTGGTCAGAGTTGTCAGAGATCCGGGCAGCCATCACAAACCGGGGGTCTGGGGTGGTGACAGGAAGAGGCTGGCAGGGAGGGGCCCTGCAGTAGGGAGGGCAGGGGGCCCGCGCTGGAGGCTGGCGTCCCCAGGAGTAGAGTGGGGCCGCTGCCCTGCTAGCCCTGACCTCCCCTTCCAGCGTCCCCTCCCTGCCCATCAGGGCCAGCCTTGCCCTCATCAGGCCTCACCGTGCAAGAGGTTCTGGTCAGAGTCGGAGCGCAGGGCTGGCCGGGGGCCCCCGCTGCGGAAGATCATGGCCTCGCGCCCCAGGAAGTCGGCAGTGAGGCCGGTGTACAGCTCCCCGCCTGGGGTGGGTGCGGGCAGAGTCAGGGCAGGAGACCAGGCACGTGCCAGGCCATGCCCTCCCAGAGACAGCAGCCAGCTCCCGCCCTCCTCGGGCCACTCCGCCCGGCCTCACCCACCTACGAAGGCGCTGGCGAAGGGACGGCTGGGCTCGTGCGGGCACCGCCCTCGCCCACTGTCCACGCTGCTGAGTTCCAGGCGGAGCACATGCTGGGGAGGGGAGGGGGCTCTCAGCCTGGAAACCAGCCCCAGGCCCCACCCCACTGCAGCCCGCAGCCCGCACCCCTCACCCCTCGCGTGCGGCTGGGGAGTGGGGGTGGCAGAGCGTGCCCTCCCTCCAGGCCTGTCTACCAGGGTCGGCTCTGGCACAAAGGCGCCTTTCAGGCCCTGACATCCGTCCCGCCCAGGCTCAGTGAGGAGGGTCCGGCGGCCCTGCCCTGCCCCTGTCACAGAGCTCACCTCCCCACGGTGCCCGACTGTGATGAGGGCGCAGGTGGGCTGGAAGGCCCCAGTGCCACACGCCAGCAGGTGGGTCCGGTTGTGGGGCTGCAGCACCCGCACGAAGTTGGCGCACTCCGTCTGGCAGGAGGGAGGGGTGGGGTGAGGCAGGGCCCCCCAGGCTCAGGCCTCCCTGGGGGCTATGCTCCAGGGAAGGGGGGTGACATTTTTCACAGACCCCCAGAAACCTCAGGGTCTGCTCCAAATGGCCCAGCAGACGTCCGAGCCAGCAGTCACAGGATCGCCCTGGGGTCAGGGCCGGGGACGTCTCTGCGGACAGCACTCACTCACCGGATCTCTCCCCTTGCGGACACACGCCTCCCTCTGTCCTGGCTGCGGCGGCCACAGGACCTGAAACAGCCGCCTACTCAGGTACTCCCAGAATCACAGCCTCAGTTTCCCCCTCTGGCCTCCCCCTGGAGCTGCCCAGCTCTCACACAGACCCTCACCCCTGTCGGTCCAGCTCACCTCCTTGGTGTCTGGCCATGCCTGGTCCAGCCGCAGAGAGTAGAGGGCATCGCGGCCCCCCAGAAAGAGGCGGTCCCGGTACTCATCCAGGTACAGGGCCCGGAGGCCCAGGGAGCCGCGGGGGCCCAGAAAGATGGCAGAGCGGTTGGCAGACAAGAGGTCTAGGAGGCAGAGAGAGGCAGGGTGGGCCTGGCAGAGCTGGGCTCAGAACGTCCCCAACAGGGATTGGAGACGGGGGTCCCAGCTGTGCCTCTAACAACACACATCTGGAAAGTGCTTCCACCCACAGGGCTGCTGGAAGGCTCTGGATTCATGGCCCTCGGGGCGGTGGGACAGGAGACTTGTAGCCCCCTGGCCAGCCTACCTGGGGGCCTGCCTCCCACCTCTCCATCCTTTAAACCTTTGACCTTTCAGCTAACATCTTCCGACTGTCCCACCTGTGCCCTCCCCAGTCCCCGTGGGAGATGGCCCTATGGGCAGCAATGCGGGTAGCCAAACGGACTCCTCCAGGGGCCAGGCAGGGAGCGGCTCCCACAGAGGCAACACATGGCCACGTGTGAGAGAGGCCAGGTGTGGCCACGTGGAGCGCCAGCCTCCCACTCGTGGCTTTTGCTGAAGAGGCTATTCTACCCGTAGTCGCTGCCCATCCAGAGGTGGGAGGGACCAGGGCCGCGGGTCCTTGGGGTCTGGCTGGGGAGGCGGAGGTGCTGGGTGGGTCTGGAGGCAGGTGGTAGAGCGTGTGAGGGACACTGGCCTCCAGCAGGAAGGCAGAGTGTCCGAGGCCCCCACGGGAGCGTTGCGCCCAGCACCTCTCCATCCCCAACCTCAGCTGCCTCTTCCAGGAAGCTCCCGTGGGTAGTACCTCTATTCTGCATGGTTCCTGCTAGCCTGACCTCCCCTAAAGCCACAGCTCCCCAGGCAGGACCGCATTCCCCCTCAGACCTGACCCTCCAGGGTTTAGCAACGTTGCCCCACTCAGATGGGTCCCCAGGGGAAGGCGACCGCCCCTCTGGGTGAGGACACAGGAGCCTCCTGGGCCAGGCTGTCAATGGGGGAGGCTGTGTGGAGCTCTGGGTCAGGGTGGGGGTGTGAGGGGAAGAAAGCCAACAGCGGGAAGTGGCTGCCAGAGGCTGGAGGCTCCTTCCCCGCCCACGGCTGGGGACCGGAGGGACAGGACGCTGCCCACTCCCCACTGGCCACCAGGCAAAGAGCCCCAGCTGAGCCCAGACGGGCCTTCCAGACCTGCCCTTCCCATTGCTCTGCCCATCTCTGCGAGGTGCTCCGGGTCCCCCTCTGCATCGTCCTCCCCCACACCGCCCACCGCCCACCGAATGTGACCCACCACGGTGCCCTTCCCCAGGTGCAGCGAGTGGCCAGGGACTGGCTGAGGCTGCTGCAGAACTAGGACCCACAGACACACACCAAAGTACCTCGGTAGGAGAGCCGCAGGCGGGGCACGCTGGAGCCAGGGCTGGGGCTCCCCCCGGGCAGCAGGAAGCCCCCCAGGAAGAAGCAGATGGCCCACGCAGAAGGGGCCATGCTGGGAAGGCCAGGGCACCCGGCTGCCTGCAGAGCCGCCCCAGGTCCCGCGGTGGTAGTACCATCACCCAGAGCCGCTTATAAGGCAGTGGCTCCACCCAGCAGGGCGGGGAGGCGAGGAGGAAGGGGCGGGGGCAGGAGGAAGGCCAGGGGCTGCTGCCCTTCACCTGCAGCTTCTCCCTCTGCCTCAGTGGCACCTTCGTGTCAGACCGGCCATCACACAGACGCATTCCAGTGGGTGTGGCAGGGATGCCCACAAACGTGGGTTCTCAGGCTCCAGCAAAGTGTCCAGGGGGAAGGTGGCCCTGGGGGAGATTAGAGACCAGAGGCCAGAGGCCAACAGGCTTGGGGGCAGGGGGTCTTATGGCTTTGCTTTGTCCCTTAGTCCTCCTGAGCCCGTGGCAGAGACCTCCCCACAAATGGCCCTGGGCCCAGGTCACTAACACGGATGGCCCAGCCCCCCGAGCCTCTGTGATGCTCCGCAGTTCTCCTGGCAGAGCCCAAGCTGGAGGGAGGGGGGTCATTCACAGCCCTGGGAGTTCCTTGTCCTGGGCAGGGGCTTGTGGCCCTGTGTCACCTAGCTGGGGTTGGCGACAGGGGGCCTACTCTGTCCGGCCTCCCGGCCCATCTCAGCTCCCTGGGCTTGCTTTCAGCAGGGCACAGCATCCAACATGGCTGCATTGTTCTGCCTCCCTGGGCCCCCAGTCCTTCCAGAGACATGGGGCCCAGGTGTCACCGGGCCAGGGGTGGGCTCTGCTCTGAGACGCCCACGCCCTGTGGGCCCTGCACAACTCTGATCCCTCTAGAGGCACTGCCTCATAGGAGAGAGAGATAAGCCTGAAGGTGGGGGGGGGGATTTCCCATGTCCCCTGTCCTGGAGCAGCACCTGCTCCCGGCCCCTTCAGCTCCCTCCTCACCCATCCAGGCCCCCGCACTTGGAACGCGAGGCCCTGGGGACTCACGGGATCTCAGCCTTGTGCCAGAGCTAGGCCTCCCGGGACCCCAGACCCTCCACAGGTCGGTGGCCCAGAGGGACTGGCCTGAGCTCTCAGAGGGCAGCCAGGAAACTGCGCGAGGACAGGGGGCAGGACCTGGCCCAGGCCACGCGACCGGCTGAGAACAGGTCCCCCCAGCCCTCCCGCTCCCCGGAAGCCTCTTGCTTCTGGGCTCCTGGGCGCACAGGCCCCACACCCCCAATCGCCTCATCTCTGGAAGGGAACTAAGTTGGACCCTTGCCTCAGCGTGGAGAGGACTCAGGGACCTGCAGCTCTGTCTCCCTGTTCCCATCCCCCCAGTATCTAATGCTTCCTCCCGGAACCCTGGCCTGGAAGTGGGCAAGGGGCTACCCAGAGGCCAGTGTACAGACTCGGCCCAGCTCCCGAGCCCCTTCCCTTAGGTCAGTCTCCTCCCAGGGCCAGGGACCAGCTTTATAAACCCGTGAGCAGGGCTTCCCAGGGGCTGCTCGAATGCCGACTATACCCTGGGACCTCGGCGGGTGGAGCCCTCTGCCTCCGTTTCTCTGGGGAGAGGTTTCAACACATACTCTGGGCCGGGGGCCAATGTCGAGTTGGAGATGGAGCTGGACAGCCCTGCAGCCAGCATGTGGCCCCCAGCTGTGGGCGGGAGGCCCAAGCACTCTTCAGCCTGCCAGTCTGCCATGGGGGGTCTCAGCCCAGTGAGGGCTGCAGGGAGGCCTGGGTGTACTGGAGCAGGGTGTGGGGCAGCCCACCCCACACTGCAGGGGCTGGGAGCTTGAAATATGTTAACGTGTGGAGCCTGGGTCAGATCCTCTCTCTGGGCCTCAGTTTTCCAGTCTGGGGTGGGGTAAGGGTCTTCTCTAAAGGCCCTGCTTGCTGGCTTAGAGACACCCCTGGAGTGCTCCAAATTCTCAGATGAATGTGCTGAGCCACAGACATCATGTGCCATCTAGTGGTCAAAGAGGGAACTGCAGGATCCCCCGAAGCGGCCTGCTGGGTCACACATGCACTGGGCGGTGGCGCCACCTAGCAGAAACTGTGGCGTCTTGGAGAGGCAGGCAGCAGCTGGTCACTACGGTACAGATGGGACGTGGGAGATGCTCCAGTGATGGCTTTTTTTGAGAGATTTTTGCTATAGGGCGCATGTACTCACTGGAGAGACAGAAAGCGACAGATCACGCCCCAGGGGTGGCCTCGCCACAGTTCCTTCTCCATTGTTCTCAGGATTTGGGGCACGCACGCACGCACGCACGTGCTCCCGGTGTTTTAAGCCGCCAGGTCCGGGACTGAAACTGTGGTTGACTTCGTGGGAGTCCAGAGATGTAACCATCATGCCATCTGCTGGTCCCCCAGTGATCGCTTTTGATGAGGGAACCACGGGAGGCTTTATGGAGGAAGCACTCTCTGGTAGAAGATGACCCAGCCCAGCAGAGGAGAGGACTGAGCTAAGCAGGAGCGGGTGATGTCTGTAGGGAGCAAAGGGCCACATGCAGGGCGCAGCTTATGAGCCCCAGGCCAACACATGTGTGATGTGTATGGCGTGGCACTCAGAGACTTGGCACTGGGAGATGTGATGCCACGTGGATTACATTTTAGCCACACGCCAATAATGTGCTAGTAAAATGTGAACATGTTAAATACACATTAGTGACGTGTCAATGGCATTCACATGTGTTTTATGCTTGACATGTGAATTCCTTGTTGATAGCATGCAAATTACATGTGATCTTCATGAGGCCTTGAGCCAGAGCTAGGCCTCTTGAGACCCCAGACCCTCCACAGGTCGGCCGCCTAGAGAGACTGACCTGAGCTCTCAGAGGGCAGTCAGGAAATGGCGTGAGGACAGACCAAACACAAGTTCATGACATGTTAGAAACATGTCAACAATGCACAAATAGCATGTGGCAGCATGTGAACTATATACTAGTGGCAATGGGTGAACATGCTAGAGAGGTGCGAGTGTGATATCATGTAAGTTACAAGCTAGTGACACGCTAGTAACATGGAAATGTAGATCAGGAGCCATGGCACCTGTGGCAAGTTCTAGCATGGCACTGGGAGCCAGGTGCTGGTGTGGTATTGGGAGACATGGTGCTGAGAGCAGTAGCAGGTGCTGGCGTGGCACCAGGTGTGGTACCAGGAGCTGTGGCAGGTGCTGGCGTGCCACCAGGTGTGGTTCCAGGACTGTGGCAGGTGCTGGCGTGCCACCAGGTGTGGTACCAGGAGCTGTGGCAGCTGCTGGCGTGGCACCAGGAGCCAAGGTGCCAGGAGACATGGTAGGTGCTGGCATGGCACCAGGAGCAGAGCCATGTGGAACCAGCCTCATCCATTTTGAGCTGGCTTTAGTTGTAACCAGTCATAACCTGTTTAAGTCATCCAGAACCAATTTAACTGGCTGAAGCCTGTCTGAACTGGTTTGAGGCTATTCCAGGCTGGTTTGAGCCAGTCAGAAGCAGTCTGAGCCAATCAGAATTGACATGAATGGGTGAGCACCAGATTGAACCCGTCTGAGCAGGTCTGAACTGTTTGGGGCCTGTATGGAATGAGCCTAAGCTTGCTTTGAGATGACCAGAACCAGTCTAAACGGTTCTGAGCCAGTTTGGTCCAGCGGCCTACAGGTTACTGGGCCACCCGATTCCAGGGCCGAATTGTTAGAGCAGGGCCTGGGCACAGCAGTCTGAGCTGGACAGAACCAGAATCGGATTTTAGCCAACTAGAACTGGTTTGAGTTGGTTGGAAGCAGCCTGAATTGGTTGGAGCCCATTTGAGCCTATTGAACTAGTTTGAGCCAGCTTAAACCAGTCTGAACTGGTTAGAAGCGGTCTAAGCTGCTTTGAATTTGCCTGAACCAATTTGAACCTGTTAAAATTGGTTTGAACCAGCCAGACTGGTCTAAACCAGCTTGAGCTGACCTGATTGGGTTTGAGCCACTCCAACCAGTTTGAATTAGTCATGACCGGTTTGAGTCAGTCAGAGCCAATCTGAACTGGTTGCTATTAATGTGGAGATTTGTGACGTATAAAGGGGTGGGGGGGTCCTTTGTATTATATTTGAAATAAATGTGCAAGCCTGGGATTTTTAAATGAATGGGGAAGAAACAAGATAAAAGCAGACCCCACTTCCTAGACCCCACTTCCGAATCTGCGCCTCCCCCAGGCTTCCCCTCACCACGGAATGTCACCCCGATTCTGGTGGTCTCCCGGCCAGACCCAGACCCGACTCAACTGCAACCTTCTCGCCCCTCCGCAGCAGAGAGCGCCTCACCTCGCCTCACCTCACCTCACCTCACCTCACCTCACCTCACCTCACCTCACCTCACAGCAGCATAGCTTCTGGACGGGCTCCAGCACGGCCCCCCTTTCACCAAGGCTGCTCCCAGCCCAATACTGCCTTTCTGCTACTGAGACCCTGAGTCTTTCCTCATACTGCCCTGGAGCCGGTTCCCGGTGGTGCTTTAGGCCTTGCTCCATGTTACCTCTTCCAGGAAGGCTTCCTGGACTACTCCTGGGCCTCCACACCTCTCCAGTTTGCATTCCAGCCCCACGCTGGCATCCCTACTGCAGTCACCTCCCTTGTTGTCTGTCTCCTGAATGGACTACCAATTCCATGAGTTAGGGACTAGACTGCACTTGGCCATGACCCAGTATCCAGCCACTGACTGGTCACTTCCTTCCTTCCGAGACTATGTCCTTCATGAGTCAGTCTGGTCCCTGAGTCCTCGAGAGGCCAAAGGGGGGACCCTGTCCTGCTCCCCAGGTCTCTCCAGGAACCAGGCAGCTGCTGTGAGTTCTGGCTCTGCCAGTGGCATCTCCAGAATTCCAAGACCATCTCTGGAATGCCGGTCTCTGGAATGCCGGGCCGTCTGGGGAACGCCAGGGCTGGGGCACAGCTGCCACGGCCACAGGGTGGCTAGGCGGGGCAGACAGCCGCCACCCTCCTGGCTGGAGCCTAGGCACGGGTGGCGGCTGTCCCCCTGCAAGCGCCACCCTGACACCTCCACTTCCTGGCAGTCCCTGGCTCTCCTTTCCAAGCCAGCCTCTCCGTCCTCTGGCCCCACTCAGCCGAGAGCCACCAGTTCAGGCCTCTGGGCCCCTCAGAGGAGAGCGGGCTGCTGGAGGCCAGCCTCTGAGGTTTGTGTGAGCTGCAAATTCAGCCCACTTGAACCTGGCCCATGAGCCAGCGCCCTGGGCTCTTTGCCAGACTCACCAGGGCCTTGGCGGGTCCCTGCATCTCTCTCCCAGGGGAGGCAAGTAAGGGGGCTGGCGAGTGGTCCCCTTACTGTGCCGCAGCTCCCCGTCCCAGCTCCTGGAGCTCCAGGGCTGCCTAGCCAGCTGCCCGACAAGGTGGCCCCGAGTTTGCTACAAGGACTCGTGGGCCCTACCCCAGGCACTGGGTTGCTGGAGGTGGCTCGTGGGCCCTACCCCAGGCACTGGGTTGCTAGAGGTTTGCCTGGGCACAGCGGGCACAGAAGGCAGGCAGCAGGGCAGGCGGCACGGCTGGCTCTAATCCACTCTAACCCATCCTGCAGAAGGTGGGGTGGGGCAGTGGTTAGAGTGCGGGCCCTGCAGCAGACTGCCTGGGAGAGGGAAGGACGGTGCTCAGGTGGGTGTCCATGCCGCAAGGTGAGACCAGACACCGGGCCTCCAGGGAGCAATGCTTTATTTGCATCCCGAGGAAAGGCTGTGAGGGGGTCAGGGGTCAGGGGCAGGGATTAAGGACACGCCGAGCTCAGATCCTGGGGACCCCGGCTGTCTCCCCAGGGCTGGCTGGAGTCGGAGGGTGGGCACGGGCAGCTCTGGGCAAAGGCTAGGTCTACTCCACGCCCTTCATGAACTCCAGGAACTCTGTGGAGAGAGGGGCGTAGGTCGGAGGTGGGCAGAGCGGGCCGGGCACCAGCCGCCCACCCACTCACCGTCGTAGTCGATGCGGCCATCGTTGTTCTTGTCGCCGTCCTTCATGAGCTCCTCGATGTCGTCCTCCGTGATGGTCTCGCCCGTGGCCTGCAGCATCATCTTCAGCTCCTCCAGGTCAATGTAGCCGTCGGCGTTTCTGCAGGGAGGAGCCCAGGGTGAGGCTGGGGGCACCCCCTCCCCATCCCACAGAACAGGAGACCGAGGCTGCAGGTCGTGAGGCCCGGCCTCTCGGACCGGCTCTGCTCAGTTGGGGTCAGCAGTCAAGTGTCACCGCTCACTTGTCGAACATGCGGAAGAGGTCCGACAGCTCCTCCTCCGACTTGCCCTTGCTGTCGTCCTTCATGCACCGGACCATCATGACCAGGAACTCGTCAAAGTCCACCGTGCCGCTGCCTGGGGGCGGGAGGCCCGGGTCAGACCACAGGCAGCGCCCCATGCACCCGCACACCGACTCCGCGTGGCCCGTGTGGCCTCGTGCCCGTTGTACAGGGGAGACCCCGGCTCACAGCCACACGGCTGCTGGCCCGACAGAGCCAGGTCTGGAGCCTCAGCACATGGCGCGGGGCGGAGGCTCACCGTCCTCGTCCACCTCGTCGATCATCTCCTGCAGCTCCTCGGGCGTGGGGTTCTGGCCCAGCATCCTCATCACCTTGCCCAGCTCCTTGGTGCTGATGCAGCCGTCCTCGGCGCCCAGCACGAAGATGTCGAAGGCGGCCTTGAACTCTGCAGGGCGGAGCGGCGGGCTCGGCAGCGCGGCCCCAGCAAGCCAGGCCCCGCGGGCCACCCACACCTCCCTCCCTGCCCTCTCTCAGGTCACCGTGCCTGCAGGGGCCCCAGCCTCGGGTCTCCCATCCAGGGCCGCTTTGGTGACAGGGCCTCCGGCTCCCACAGTCCCCCCGGCCGTCCCCGCTCGTGTGACCAGGACACTCACCATTTTTCTGTTCTTCTGTCAGCTGCTCTACCTAGGGAGGAGGAGAAGCCTCGGGACTCAGGCTCAGGCCTAGGCGGCCGTTGGGAAAGCACCCATCCCCGCAGGAGGGAGGACCGACATCAGCAGGGAGCAGGCTAGCTCCAGGTCAGAGGCCCGACTCCTCTCTCCAGTCCCCAAAGCCCTAGGATGACCCGCTGGCCTCACTGAGGCTGGGCCCAGGGCCAGGGTGACAGGTGGACACCCCCTCAAGTCAAGGTGACCCTGAGTGACAATAGTCAGTGACCACTCCGTGCCTCGTGGTCCTCTGAGGGCCCACAGCTGTTCCTCAGGTGAGGACAATAATACCAGCTGGGGGTGGGCAAAGCTCCCCGTTGTAATCCGACCAGGCAGCCACTGGGCTATTTTTAACAGGGACAAAGTTAAACCTGGTGATTGTTCTGGGGACTGTGGCATGCAGGGGTGGGGCAGCGTTATCTGGTCCCTGGCCTGCTGGTGTCGCCTCGGGAGCCAAATTTAGTCCCCAGCCCCACCAGGCCTTGTATGGGCACAGGGTGGAGGGCCGCTACACACACCCCTACGGGGATAAGCAGGAGCACCCCCAGAGCCAGTTGTAGCCCTCCTCCCCAGGAGTGGGGCTGCACTGGGGGCTGAGGGAGGGCCTCCCCTGGGACAGCTGTCTGTTCTTGTCTCTGGGTGGGGGGCGTCACTGTCTCCCCAAGATGGAATACCATTTGAAACCGCTCCGTGATCCCAGGACGGAGGGACTGCTGGGACTGCTGCTGACCACTCTCCAGTCCCACCTCCTCGCCCCTAGCTGAGCCATGGAGCCTGGGCGGGGCCCCAGCCGCAGAAGCAGCTCAGAAGCAGCTCCGTGCCCCTTCTCCCCCACTTCTCAGGCCCAGTCCTTCCCCGGCCCAGGAGTTAGGGCCGGCAGCTCCTCCCGAAGACCCCCCCTCCCATGCTCTGAAGCACCCACTGCAGACAGGGGCTGGTGAGTTGTGAGTGTGAGGGGCAGAGATGGGGGACGGGGACAGGGACACAGTATAGGGACTCAGGGAGACAGCTCAGGAGGAACAGAGAGAGATTGAGAATCAAGGCAACATGACCCAGGGACCAGGGACACAAATGCAGAGTGATGGTGACACAGACACTTGGAAACAGGGCGACAGGTGGTGCAAAAGGCTAGACCCTCCCTCAGATCCATCCCAGCAGCTCCTCCCCACACCCTGAGCCCTCCAACCCTCCTGCACCCCCAAATGCCAGAACCATGGTGCCCTAGAGAACCTGAGCTGAAGCTATGTGGGCCCTCTCCTGAGTCCCCACCACTTTCTTGGGGAAACACTGTCCCCCATACTGAGCTGAGTAAGCCACCGGTCCCCCCCCTCCCGGCCCTACCCAGCCCAGCCCTCACCGCAGCCTTGTAGATGTCATCCATGCTGGTGGTTCACGGGACAGGCAGCTGGGGTTGCTGGCCAGCCCTCGGTTTAAATAGCCCTGCCCTGCTGCATTCCCAGCCCGGCCCAGCCCACAGCCCACCCCTGCGTGAGTCCATCCCCTCCCCTGTCAGAGTGATCTGGAGCTGGCTCGACTTCCCATGTCCTCTGCCCAGGACAGGGAGCACATGAAAGGCTGTGAGGACCAGGTTTCTTCCCCTCTGTCCCCCACTCCCCAAAGGATTGCCTAAAAAGGTTTCCTGAATGAATGAAACCTGAGCCCAGGAAGGGAGCTCCAAACCAGGCCCTACACCCAGCAGCTCAACTTCATCCACCAGGCCTTGGGCTCTACTATCACACCTTCCATATGAGAAAACTGTGGGTCCCAGACGTGCTGACAGCCCAAGATCTGCCAGCGCCTGCCTGAAACAAAATTTCTCTGGGGAGGGGGGCGCAACATGCAAGGGGAAGCTGGAAGTAGGGCCCTGCCAAGAGGAGCCTCAAATGCCAAGCCCAGAGGCCGGTGCTATGGAACTGGTGGAGGAGAAAGCCATTGGCCCACAGTAGGACAGGGTGGGCTGGAGTCCTTCAGTCAGAGATGGTGCAGAGGAGCCAGATCTCTATCTCCCCATGCAGAGAGAGCAGTGGCCACTTGGAGCTTGAGTCAGCAGCATTGTCGTTCAACAACCCCCCTACGAAGATTCCCCTGCGCTAGGCTCTTCCCAGCTCACCCGCCACCTGCCGCAGGTCTGTTCGGGTGCTAGCCCCCATTCCAGCGCAGTAGTTCCTCTGTTCAGGGCCATTCCCTTATTTTTGAGCTTTGACAGGACACTACCTGGGGGCCTTGGTGCCCAGTGGCCAGCACATATTCTTCCCCTCCACCGAGACCCTCCCACACACACCACCCTCTGCCTCCCACCGGGCTGCGCGCCTGGCACCGTCCGGTTCTCTGGGCGTCCCATTGACAGAGGCGATGTGCGGCTGTCGGCGAGAGAGAGCAGGCCCAGAGTCACTCTGGCCATGCTCGGGCCCTAGCACAGCTTCTGTCTCCATCCAGCTCCCTACAGGGAAGGAGCCCTACTGCCAGAAGCGCCATTATCGCTTCCCTTTGCAGAGGGGGAAACTGAGGCAGGCGGAGCAGTGGCTTGCTTTTGGTAGCCCGAAACGCGCGGGGCCTTCTGTCCTCCCTTCCCGCGGACCGATGCTCACGGATGTGACCGCTCGGCGTCTCGGCTTCCCGCCGCACGGGGCGGATAACCCCGGGCTGCACTTAACGGACTAGGAGCGCCGGCTTGCGCGGCCTACGCATGCGCGCCCGTGGCGGCAACTGTCAATCACGCGTGAGGGGCGGGGCGCGAGAAGGCGGTGTGGGGGGGTCCAAGATGGCGGCGCGCGCCGGGGGCGGGGAGC